CATGAGAAAAAGCAGAACTGCCAATGGTATCTGGCAGGTGCAAGTGAAGCTATTTTGCTTGTCCTTGGAAGCGGAACTGTGGAGTCCGGAGGTTAAACCTAGTCTCCTTTTTCTGTATCCCAGCTGTGCATGTGCTCTAGAATAAACAGAGCAAAACTGGGAAGAAAGGTTGTAATTTCTTATTGCTTTAGAGTGTTCTTTTTCCTGACTCCACCTCATTCCCTCAGGAGTGGGGAGGAAGCAGCAGAGGAGTTCAGCTGAGTGACTCACAGGCTTCTAGAAGCGTTGCAGCTTATATTCGTGGTGATGCTGAACACTCATCTCTGTCTATATGTGGGCAACACTTTAGTAAATATTCTAGCTAAATTACATAAAAATCTGTGTATACTGGGACATGCCTATCTACTTACAGCAGTAGCTATTATGAGCAATCTTTGTCTTTTCAAGAAATGCATAGTTTAGGTCTTTGTTTTGCAGAGCTGATGCAGATTGTTTAAAAAATAATGCATAAGCCTTACTCAGTTTTAATTTTTTTCATTTTTACTGGAACCTGGCAGAACAGTTTCCTTCCTTTCCTAGATCCTTAATTATACATAATATTAAATGAAACCAGTTGGATTAATCTCAGTCCCCCAAAAGACTTGGTAAATGCCGATTGGCAAGAGAAAAATCTTTATTTGGGTAAAATCAGTGGTACTGAATGTGCTTCAGTGAGATTTTTCATGTTGTCAGCAGTGCTGCTTATCAATTTCTAGAGAAAAGAGTAGATCAGTAGAAAAGGTTGCTATTTTTAGCTGATTCGGAGTTCATGTTTTTTCTGTCTGGAGTGGACATGGCTGCTGTCATCCATGTTTTAACCTTGCAGGTTGCATTCTTGTAATACATTCTCAGTGTATGCACCCACGACAGACTCTTGGAACTTCATTTATTTACTTAAGGGCAAATGTAGTTTGAAAATGGCAACAGTTTGTTTGGTTTTTGGTTGTATTTTGCAAACCAGAGGACACCTCGAATGATTTTTTTGAAGTTGAAGGAAGAGATGATTACAGATGGTGTTTCCATAGAGTTGAAGGAAACACTTTCAGTTGAAGGGGATGGGAGGGGGGAAGATTTTTCTTTTAAGTAAACTCCACTCGTTCATTGCAACCAAAAGTTGAATGCTTCTAGAATTGTATTGTCCTTTGGTTATGGAAGTAATTGTGCACACACACATTCCTAGTGTGAGTAGGTAGTAGGGTTGTTTTGTCTGCTTCCTTACATGGTTTAGATTGCTAATAAGATCAATTTAATATTGACTCAGTTGTGTTAGTTCCCTTTCTAATGCAAACTGTGATGTATTGGCCTTTAACTCTTTGACCGTAGCAATGTCACCATTCAAATATATGTAAAGTTATGCAAGATGTAATATGTTAACTCTCTTTTGGAAATCGTTTATATTAATTTTATTTTAATTATAGGGAAGATTTCTAGAATACCTATCAGAGTAGGTTCAAATATTCTTAATTTTTTGAATGTTAACAACAAAACAAGTGTGAGGTCTTATACTTTTCATGGTAACTATTTAATTTCTAGCTGGATTTTTTAAGTGCACTTTGGAGCATTAATTGCAAGGTCAAAAAGCAGGCCACTTTCAGATAATTTCAATTAAACTGGGCTATTTCTATTCAGCAACGTGCCCAGTTGGTAATTCCAAAGAAAATGTATGGCACTCTTAGCATTTGCTTACTATCTAAACTTACTGGCTCTCAAAAAGTGTTAATTTACACTAAACATATGGGCTTAGCTGGAATATCAAGTGTGTGCGTGTATAGTCTGAAAACCAAGTACAACTTTTGTCAGTGTACTTTGCTGGTAGACTTAAAATAATTTTTAATGATTTTTTTTTTTTTTCCAAATGAGTGTTTAGTTATGTAAGTAAACTACAGTGTCTATACCTTTGGGCATTTTTCACAAATAAAACCCAAAATATTTTCTAGGTTGTGGTTGCTGGGTTCCTTAGCAGACAGTAGAGTGTTGCAGTAGATGAGCCTTGAGGATGTCCTGGTTTTTATTTAAACTGGTTTTGCTGTGGCCAAGAAGAAGATGAATTTTTATATGCATTCATGTGAATTTGTGTTGTTTCTTTTTAATAAATGGTTGAAAAGCTAGAGCAAGGCAGTGTAGTGTACGAACCACTCCTTTGTCATGATTAAGACCAAAAGTATGACATTCCAAAATAACTGGACTCCACATAACGAACAGAATATATTTATAAAGATGTTTGTTAGTCACATGCTGTAAATGAGAACGCTTGGGAAATCTGAATCGTAGCTGAAATTTCACGGTGAATCAGAAACTGGTGCACTGTTCTGCCGAGCCAGCAGCCCTGAGCTCGGGGAGCCCTCCCAAAAGGTGTTCTGTCACACTTCTAAAAGCCTTCACCTGCAGGAAATGTTACTGGATGTGCAGTAAGGAATTCATCATGTTGCAGTGACGCTACCGTAGACATTATTTCAAGGGTGGTGATGTGAGCTTTTCCTGCCTGTGGCCCCCAAAGGTGGGAATTCAATATGCCTATTAATATCCAGACCATTTAATATACCACTTAAAGCTGTCTTTCTCGCTGCCTGGATTCATACGTGAAACCTGAGTGCAAATGCTTTCTCGAATAGCTACAAACTTGTTCACCATTGACAAATTCTGATCTTACCAGCCACTGGAGGACATTAGAATACTTCATACTGCACAGCAGGAAGAAAAACCCTCCCTCTGTTCCTGTAACACTGAAGCTTATCCAGCAACTTTCACAGGAGCCATTTACATAATACACCCACAAACCAGCACCGTTTAGGCAGCTTCAAGCTGAAATATTTATTCAGCAAGTTGTAGGTCATCATATTATATTTTTGTTATTGTTCTACTATTATAATAATATTAATATTATGATAACATTCATATATCTAAATGATGCTCAATGCAAATATTTTCAAGCTGAAGATATCTCGGTCTATACAAGCTGCAAAAAACTGTAGGTTTGGTCATCGATAGCTGGCTTTTTACTAGTCAACTGATTCCATTTAATTTTCAGAGTATTTATGTGGGGACTTCCTTGTCTTCAGCAAGTTAAGGAAGGGCTGTTTTGCTGCTCTGACCGGTGCCATATGAAAGCAGTTAAATGCTGGAATTGTTTACCGCCTAAATTGTTAGTCAGCAGAGCCAGTACACCAGATTTCTTTGCGGCTTTTAGTGGAAAATATTAAACAGTGGCTCTTTCTTCAGTTACAGGATTTTTACGTTTTTCAGCCGCGTTAGTCACAGAACTGGCACAGGCGTGACTGCAAAGGCTGCCCCCCCAAAAAAAAAGAAAAAAAAAAGAAAAAGGCGCTTTTTTTTTTTTTTTTTTTTTTTTGAGCCAGAGGAAGTTGCAGCGGGAGCAGCGGCCGGGTTCCCTGGTAAGTGTGACATGTGAGCATTACTAGGCATTTCATCCTGCCAGGCTGCAGTCGCTGCTCGGTGGGAACGCCGCCGCGGCGCTGGCTCCCGCTCCGCTCCTGCCCGCTCGGACAGCCCCGCTGCGTCCCGCTCTGCCAGCCTGGCTGCTGGCGGTGGAATCCCATTTGTCAAGGGGAAAAAAAACTGATAAGCAGAAGCTTTAACTGAAGAGGAGAATCGGGTTGGCACAGTGACAGATGCTCGGATAAAGAAGTTGGCTGAGAGAAGATGAACGGAGTCTGATTATTTTTTTTTTTTTTCTTCTTTTTCCTCTCCTCATTCTGAATGAAGACTATCATGGGAACTGCATTCACATGGCGATCAAAAGAAACACTTGAGTGATGAACTGCTTTTGCAGAAGAAGTCTAGGGCAGTAATTTGAGCTTTTGTGTGCAGTAGCTGGCTTGTTTTGCTGAAGCATTCTTCCTCTCCAGCATTTCTGCCTAACTCGTCCCCTGATGGAGAAGCCAGAGCTACTGCCCGGGAAAGGAAAAACGAATGTCTCCGCATTGCTCGTGTCCCTGACGGAGTAACGCCGTCTGCCTGGCTGTCATTTGAAGGGAGGGGGGGGCTGGATTCAACTGGCAATATTATTCAAGGAGTTCATTGTCCCCGTGGTCTGACTCATCGCATGTAAATGTGCTGCAGCCGCGCCGTACGTTGCAGATATTTCCCTTGCATGGGAAAGAATGATTTTCCTCTAAGCAGGTCCTGAATAACTGCTGGAAAGGAGATGCGTTTTTCTGGCCGGACTGTTATTTGACGTGGGGAAAGGAAGCTGTAGGATGACAGGATGATGGGGAGGCGCGTTTATTTTCAGGCAGCGGAACGCCTGGGCCGGTTGGTTTAAAAGTGCCCTTGCGGGAGCTGGGTAGAGCTGCCGCTGTCGCTCTCGGGGCAATTGTTCCTTCTTCCCTCCTCGGTAGGACGGGTCTCGTGTCTTCTGCAACAATGATTTCACTGTGGGGGTAGGAGGATCGCTGGTGGAAGTTGTGACATTAACAAAGACAAATTTGCCTGTGAAAGGACAGCTGTGTGCGACAGTGAGTGCTCTTCGGATGGAATTGGATCTTGGGATATTTTTATCAGCTGTTCCACAGTTTCATTATTGTGGTTTGGATGCCTAGGGGGATTTTATTTTAAAAAGAACAACTTTTTTTTTTTTTTTTTTTTTTTCCCA